GTGGAGAAGTCGAGGGAATGCAGCTCGTAGTCACACTATGCTGCTACGTGTAGCAGCGCCCACGAGTGGTCATCTTCGGGGTTGGGGCAAAGGTCTGAAATAAGTCAACACCCTTGTGATGACTCGAGCCTCTAGCAACGTAGCACGCCTTGAACACCGGCGAGTCTCCGGGAGGGTGCTTCACCTTGAAGAGCCACTGGCCATCGACTACGTTCACTCCAGGTGGGGGAACGGCGTCGACATAGGTGCTGATGGATCTCCACGATGCCATCTCCGCGTCCATGACAGCTATCCACTGATAGGCCCAGGGTCCCGAGGTTGCCTCAGCGTAAGTGCGAGGGGTTGCGATGTCAAGGGCGTCTGGGTCACCCTGAGGGACTAGCAGCATGGAGCAGAGATGGGGAGCGGCCTCGTACAGGAAAGGTAGCTCATACTGCCTGTCCTCTAGAACGTTACTACCAAGGGGAGGTGCACCCCCGACGGACGGAGGACGGGCAGGGTCAAAAACCAGAGCGGTGGTGTAGTCAAGGTGGTGGGTAGAGGCAAAGTATGCGACGGCAATGACAAGAGCGTCAAGTCTGGAGACAGGAACGGACGGGTCGGTAACAATTCAAGCGAGCACGCGAGGGACAAGCGGACTATCGGCACGGAGGGAGTCAGAGAGAGGAGGAGGGGATACAACAAGCGATGACTGAGGAGGCGACGGCAGAAGAGGAGCATGAGACGTGTGAGAACGGAGCAAGATAGGGTGAGAACGCTGAACTTGAGAGACAGGACGAGCACGAGAGGCACGGTGAGACCACAAGCGGGAGGGTGGGGTCGGGTCAGGAGAGGAAGGAGGAGACATAGCAGGTGGACGTGGGGGGAAACAAGCCGAGGACGAGTCCGGAGGAGGAAACACAGGACCATAGACAGGCGGGGGAGGCACAGGCGGGCGGTCGGGGAAAGGAAGACCGAGGAGGTGAAGGGCAAACACCGGCGGCGACTGCTGCTGCTGCTGCTCCATGTTGAAACCAGAACCTCCAGCTGTACTACGGCTACCTCCGGGACGCTCCACGCCAACACCCTCAGAAGGAGAAATCTCTATAGCGCCCGTGCCCCCAAGCCACGGCAGTACCCCCAGGACGAGCACCCCCAGAATCAGCACCCCCAGAACCAGCACTCTCCTCAACGCCCACACCCGCAGAGCTCTAGAATTCGTGCGTTGGCGGCGGCGACGGCGACAGCTGCTACGGCGGAGACGGTGACTGCGACTGCGGTGGCGGAGAAGGAGCATCCGGTGTGGAGACAGGCGATGAACACAGAGCCGCAGGGCCCCCAGAGTCAGCCGACTCCTCCACCTGGACGACCGACAGGAGGGGAGTTACGTGAGACACACTAGAGGGGGCAGGACGTGGAGAGAGAGGAGCAGGTGGTACTGGGGGAGTGGTGACTAGGAACAGGGGCGGGGCAATGGAGAGACCTTAGTGAGGAAAGTGGGTATTGAAGGAAACAGACTCGTCAAAAGTGACGTCGCCAGAGTGAAAGAAATGGTGAGACGACGGGTGGTAAAAGTGTCAGGCAGACGAGTCTAGGGGGAAGCCGAGGAAGACATAGAGGACAGTGCTAGAGGCATGAACGTGAGCAAGGTAATCCCAGACGTGGAACACAGACGTGTCACCAGGGGACCTGGTCCAGAGGAGGGTCGGCAAAACCTGCGGCAGCTGGGAGTGTGTCCACTGGTTAAGCTGGTGAGCGACGTAGCGAATAACGAACGGTCACAGAAAATGGGGTGCACTGGCATGGATCATGGAGGTACGAGCCACCTCCATGACCAAACGGATGCGTCATTCAGCGACCCCATTTTGCTGCGGGGATTCCAGCAGGGTGTAGGACTAGATGATGCCCTCTGCACGACAGAATTGGCCAAGCCGACCTAAGGCGAACTCGCCGCCAAGGTCGGAGTGAAGACGCAACATAGGGAGGACGTGGAGGACTTGCGCAGCTACGATACACGAGATAAAGAATGTCAGGCATGTCAGCCTTCCACCAGGAGAAACACCGTGTTGTAGCGAGTGTAGACGTCGACGAGCACCAAAAAGTAGCGCTCTCAACGCGGCCTAGGGATGGGGGCTAGGCCCCAAACGTCTAGTTGCAAGGTCAGGAGCAGCGCAGTTGTAGGGGGAAGCAAGAAGGAGTGAGGGGCACGCCGTAGCCGCCCCTCGACACAGGGCGTGTACGGAAGCGCAGGCGAGGGAGGGAGGGCAGGGAGCGACGCAGGGAGTGCGGGGTGACCCAGACAAGACCGTGCTTAGACATGTGAAGCAGACGTGGGAGTGCGGGGTGACCCAAGCAATGGTGCCACATCAGCGATGGTTGGGTGAACGACCAACACGAACAAGCCACAACGACCTATGAGGGCGCGACCACCTGAGGGGACGCTCCCACTGGGAGGGACGCGGTGTCTAGAGTAAATAGGCCAGACACCGGGTCTCAAGGGAACGTGGTGAGACGGGCACCAGTGGTGGCCTCGGTGCAGACTGCGTACCGCTCGTGTCCAGGAAACATAGTGGTGACGCCGAGGTCCTGAAGACAACCGACACCAACTAGGTTCCTGGAGAACGTTGGGATGTGCAAGCCTGTAAGGGAGCCCGAGGGAACCGCCGGACAGGGAAGGGTAGTGGAGCTACGTGCAACTACCGGACTTGAGGAGGGGTCAGCAAGCACTACAACGGCAAGGGCGGCAAGTGGCGTGAGCGCAGTGTGGTCGCGAAAGAAGTAGGTGGACGCACCCGAGTCTAGTGTGAAAGAGACTACAGCGGTGGCGTCCGAAGGCGGAGGAGCTAGAGTGGAGCTGAGGCTAAACAAGGTAGGTTGTCTTACGCCTGACGTAACAGGGGAATGTAGGCTAGACACAGTGGACACACCTACACTAGTCAACACTGGGCAGTCACACTAGAGTCATCAGCATACATGACATACATAGTAGACCTAATCGTATCCATATCCAGCTCAAAGAAAGGCACACGGCGAAGCACCAAGCTGTACCAGTTGGGGGGGTCCGACGCGGGGCTGAAGCGGAGACGAAAGAGGTCGTCCACGCAGCGGTAGCAGCGGGCGGCGGTGTGACAGGGACGGTCACAGACGGTGCCGTGGCGTGGGCCTGATTGAAGCTGGTATTGGCAGATGACCACACTGGAGCCGCCACCCGACACCGAGCTGCGCGGCCCACCACGAGGACCACCATCACCAGCGCTGCCGGGCCATCACGGCGGCGGGGGTCCCCACGGCGGCTGCTGCTGCTACTGGGGCTGCTGCTGCTGCTGCACCGGAGCATCAGCCCCGCTCCCCTCGTATGCACCACCGTCCCGTCCACTACCACCGCCACCTCCTCCACCCCCACCACCCCTCCCGCCGCCACGCCCCCCCTGGGCCCGACGTCCCCTACCCTGACAAGCCTGCGCCGAGGCCGCCGCAGCAGTCTCAGCAGTAGGGGCCATCTCATCAACATCGGAAGAGACGTCAGAGTAAGTGCACTGGGAGAGAGCACAACCCTGGAAGATAGAGACCGCCGCAGACTGAACGATAGTGCGCTTGCGCGTCTATATCAGATACAGGGTGGGGACAAAGGCAGGAAAAGTGAGGTTACCTGGGTGCTGACTAAGGAAGTGGTCGCGAGCAGTGGCAAGGCAGTAAGGAAGGCGCGTGGCAATAAGGTAAAGGGTAGCGCAGAGGGGAGGAGGGAATGCAGTGAGCTCGGCCTCAGTGCTAGCAGCGCGGTAACTAGTCTCAAGTGCGTGCAGATGAGGGGCAAGGTCACCGACAGTGGGGAAGGACGCAAGATCCGGGAACACTCAGACAGAGAGAGGACATGACTAATTGCAAGCTGCGCTACTGCGTCACGCGATTCCCAAACAGCGAGTGCAAGCTCAGCAGCGGCAAAGGGCTCACGCTCATCAGACGTGGGAGCGTCATGGAGGGGAGCAGGCGTGGCGGGGCATGGAATCTTACCGTCGACATGGATGGCCAGGGAGTAGTCGTCCTGGCGCTGACCTGTAAGCTGAAGGCGGAGGTCGATGATCCACGCCTCAAAGTTGATCGCCCGACCCTCCGCGTCCAAGCTGAGCACAGTATCCGCCATCACCACAGCCGCAGCAGCTGACAATGGCACCGCGACACGGCGGCCCGGCGGCACGTCGACACGACGGCATGGCGATATGGCGACACGGCGGCACGGCGACACGAAGACACAGCGGTTTGCCGGCACGGCGGCGCGGCAGCACGGCGGCTCGGCGACACAGCAGCACGGCAGCACGGCGGGAAGAGGGGCTGGCGTGAGCTGGGGCCGGCTCGAACGGGGGCCGGTGTGAGCAGGGGCCGGCGCGGACTAGCGGGGCCGGCGCGGAGGGACGGGGCTGGCACGAAACGGTGGGGCCGGCGCGAACAGACGGGGCCGGCGCGAACTGACGGGGCCGGCGCGAAGCAACGGGGCCGGCGCGAACTAATTGGGCTAGCGCGAAGCGACGAGGCCGGCGCGAACTAGCGGGACCGGCGCGAACTAGCGGGGCCGGTGCGAAATAGCGGGGCCGGCGTGAACGAGCGGGGCCGGCGCGAACTATTGGGGCCGGCGCGAATTGACGAGGCAGCGCTTAGCGGCGGGGCCGGCACGAAGTGACGGGGCCGGCGCGAAGTGACGGGGCCGGCGCGAAGTGACGGGGCCGGCGCAAAGTGACGAGGCCGGCGTGAAGTGACGGGGCAAGCACGAAGTGACGGGGCCGGCGCGGAAAGAGCTAGGGCGCGGGCGCGGCTAGGGCTAGGGCACGGCTAGGTCACGGCTAGGACACGGGCTAGGGCTAGGGGCCAGGCCTCAGGATATCAGGGTAAAATACCCTTACGGCCCTTATAATAAGGGTGGGGTAGGTGTTGGACCCTTATTTTTATAAGTGGTTGAGTTTTTAACCCTTATGAAAAAACTAGATCTATACGGGACCCTGTTTTTCCAGAATGGTCAAGTGTTGTGTAAAATCACCCTTACACAATCACTCATGCGATCCCCCGCTATAATAATTTCTCCCCTTGGCAACCTATAGATTTCGGCTAAGTCCCCCCAATCCAAGAGTCATTCCTCCTATACCCCCCGCGACCCTAGATTTCAGCTAAGTGGGGAGGGAGTATTAACCTAGCGTGATACCATCTCAGAATATCGCAATGAACAAGAATGAGTGATGAGTTGTACTCTCCATGAGCATGCACCTATCTAGCCTATAACATTACAAATATATGTTGACACTCTTGTCCTGTACACTTGCACTACAAGAGAGTGATGGTGAGAGCAAGCAGGGCAGTGAATCTGGCGATGACAATAATGACTGCTGCCAGAGAACGGGAGGTGCTGGCAGCTTTAGAAACGGGGGAGAGCGGCGGAGGGGAGGGAGGAGGCATCTTGGGTGTCGCTCCGCCTGTTGGAATGAGGGGAAAATGGAAAGAGGAGGTGAGGCGAGGTGAGGCAAGGAGAGAGAAGAGGAGAGTAGAGGAGAGGAGAGAGGAAAGGTGGGGAGAGAGGAGGGAGAAGGCGGGAGTGAAACGAGAACAGACAGAGGCGATTCAAAAAGTGTGCAGAAAGGAAGTGGCCTTGGAAGGGGGAAGGAGGTCGTCCATGGGTTCAGGGTGCATTCGTGGAGGGAATGCAGCTGGGAAAGCATGAAGGGCATACCTGTGGAAGAGTATACACACTAGAAGCAGCGGCAGTGACCGCGAGAGTGACAGCGACAGCATGTAACAGCAGAGAGACGACGTGGAACAGGGAGGAGTATGCACCACAGCTCGTGGTGCAACAAACGGCATGCATCTTTACAGAAGAGTCGAGTGGGAGTTCCATTTGCTGGAGAGGCCAACAAGACAGTCAGGCGTTGGGAACAGATGAGTCGAGCCACGACTTACACTGGGGCGAATCAAGCCACCCTGCAGTGGAGTTGGCATAGTCAAAGAAGAGATACTTGTTGAACAAACCCGGCTCTGCAGACGCGCAGGGGATAAGGGAAGGGATTCGACAGCAGGTAAATGTGGGGAAGGGGGTCGGTCGGTGATTGAGTAAGGGTAACAAAGGTAGGCAGTAGCTTGACAGGTTGGGATACGGGGTGGAATTATTGCCAATCTCGCTTCCCGTTTGTGGGTTCAAGTGTGATGTTGGGCTGGCATAAATCAAAGAGATACTTGTGCCCTCATGGAGGGCTTGATGAATAACTGGCACCACTATCAAACAGCGTAGGTCGGAGGTGCGTTGGTAGGGTTGCTTGCTACGAGGAGGGGGGAAACGAAAGGTGACACTTGGATGAAAGGAAGACCGAATGGGAAGCAAAAAAGACGAACTGGGATGACACAATGAGCGACATAGCACAATAGGCAATCCACAATGAGAGGAGAGGCAAGAGGTGACAGGAGAGCACGTATGGGCAGGAAGAAGGTGCGGGGGGAGGGGGGGAAAAGAGGTGGGGAGGGGGGTTGCAAACGAAGAGGGCGGATGTAAGTACCCCCTACCTCCAATAGCATTGGTGTAAAATTGATAAGGATAAGTCGGTGTGGCCAAGACGCAGTACCTGGAAGCCGAAACCTGCAGCGGGCATGTCACACAGGAATGGGGGATAGCTGTGAGCGAGCCTTGACGAGTGGCAAGGGGAGATTTGCTACTTGTCCCAGTGGCTGGCTGCGACCACATCGATGCTCTGAGAAAGACTCAGGCTGAGAAGGCTGAGATGGAATGGAAAGTTTCGATCGCATGTGAGCAGCAATGCATGTGCATGGAAAGGGGAGAGGAATGGCAAGTGGTGGAAAGACAACTGGCATGGGAATCAAGCATTGAACAGCTGGTGGGTCGCCAATCAAAAGGGGGGGGGTGGAAGGGGTAGACATTGCTTGAAAGAAATACCTGGGTGGTGACCGTGCTCCAAGTTTCTTCGACCTTGGAATTCGTTTGATTGGATCAAGGGGGCGACAGACTATTGAACGAATCCCTTCTATAATAAATATTACGGTGAGGCATTCTGGGAGTCCACTAGAGTGCACGGTGCTGAAAAACCACAACTACTATTACCTTGGCGAGGTACTCAGGCGGTTTGAGGTAGAAGTGGGAGAGGCCGCTTGCATTGTTTGGACTGAAGAAAGCAATGTCGATGGTGGGGAAGGTGGCAAAGGGGTCAACGGACTTGTTCTTGTTCCTGCAGGTAGAGCATTGTAGTGAGAGTGAGGGGGAAGAGAGAGACGTGAAGGTGAGAGGACCGACCAAAAAGCGGGTCAGAGGGACTGGTGTCAACAAAACTAGTCTGGTGCCTAAGAAATGGTTATTGATAGAAGGATTTTTGCATACATTTATAATATATCTTTACATTATGTATACATGTGTGTATGAATGTCTGACGGAGACAAGGGAGGGAGGGAAGGAGAGCGGGGAGGGCGGGGAAGGGGGAGAGAGGTTGAGAAAGGGAAAAGGGGAGAGCGTGAGTTGTGTGTTGTGAGTTGTGTGTTGTGAGTTGTGTGTTGTGAGTTGTGTGTTGTGAGCTTGAATGGGCTTGAATGGGCTTCAATGGGCTTCAATGGGCTTCAATGGGCTTCAATGGGTTGACTGTGTTCTTTTGGAGGGGGGGGAACTTACTCGAAGCAGAGAAGTCGATATATGATCAGCGTGGTGGAATTGGAGTCCAGCAAGAAAGTTTGCCCTGTCATGGCTTCAAGCTGCAAAGAGGGCCATGCATGTGCGGAACACGGTACATAAAGAACCAGACACAAGAGGCAGGCAGTTGGGACAAGTGTCTCCATCCACCACACGGAGAGATGGTGAACCTGGGGGAAGGGAAACATGCGCGTCTAGCAAGCCCTGTGTTGTCTTGCAGCCTGACGCCATGCCTCAACCAGCCACTTGCAGATCAATAGTGGTGACCACCAATGAGCAAACGGAACAAGGCTTCTTACAGGCATGGCACGATGTCACCCGACCAACCCCACGTTCTCAAGGGCAAGGACCAAGCCCATTTTGGAAAGAGCTGTGCTTTCGCTTTGAGCCAAGTCCAGCGCCACCGTTTCTGGGTCCACGCCTGCCCGGAGCACACATTACCAAGGCTTTGCTGCCATGCCAACCACCCCCCTATGGGGCGCTCTTGCGTATGGGGTGCTCTTGCGTATGGGGAGCTCTTGGCTGGGGAACAGGGCGGGCTTGACCCAGACCAGACGCCCACAAAAGATTGCATGAAAGGCGTAGAAATCCCGTCAGCTGCACTCTAGCTCAAACTTCTCCCATGGCTAGGCTTCTATTGGCTCGGCTCGACTAGGCTCAGTGCTGCGAGCTAAGGGTCGGGAGAGCGTAGTGGGGAGAACATACAGCATCGCGGAGGCTTTTGAAGAGAGGGAGGCGGAGGAGATGCACAAAGGACTCGGGCATGAAGTAGAAGCCGGCAGGTGCAGTGGCGTCCTCGGGCATGAATAGCTTTGGGTCGTCTATTTGCAAGGGATCGTCCGTGATGTTGACGGAGCGAGCTGCGGTAGTGAGCGTGATGTGGCTGTACTGCATGCCTGCCGGGTCTGATCTGTAAGGGAGGGCGGGAGGGAGGGATGGATGGACGGACGGACAGACGGTCGGACGGACGGACGGACGGACGGACGGACGGACGGACGGACGGACGGACGGACGGGAGGAAGGACGGACGGACGGACGGACGGACGGACGGACGGACGGACGGACGGACGGACGGACGGAAGGAAGGACGGACGGACGGACGGAAGGAAGGACGGACGGAAGGAAGGACGGACGGACGGACGGAAGGAAGGACGGACGGACGGACGGACGGACGGACGGATGGTTGGATGGATCGTGTGCTTCGGTGGTGCATGGCATTGGTGTCATCATCACCAGCAGCAGCAGGAGGTGGGAAATGAAGAAACGGGGGAGAGGTGGTGCAATTGGTAGTGGACACAGGTGGGGGCGTGGTAGCCCATCGTTTGACCGCTGGCAAAAACCTTTCAAGGTTGCCAGAAAATTACATGTTCGAGTACTGGGCGCCGGCAGGGAGGCCGACGGCGCCGATGGTGAGGTGGCTGCTGCCCTTCTGCAGAAGCTTCTTCTCATTCCATGCTGGCTTGTTCGTGGGGGTGGGCTTGTCCAAACACACGGCGAAGGAGCCTCCAGTGCCTGCGCTAAGCTCCTCCACAAAAGAAGCCCCAAAGCCCATCCCCAGCACGCCCCCCGCCGCCCACGAGCCGTACTGCCAGCCCTGCATCCCCCAGTAGCCCAGCTGGTTGCTGCCACAGCTGCGGGCGGGACGTTTTAGGGGCGGGAGAGGGGAGAGTGAGGGGCAGCATGAGGAAGGGTGAGCAACAGATAGAGAGATTGGGGAAGGACAGTAAGCGCAAACGAGAAAGAGAGGAGGAGAGGAGGTACTACCATCACTATGTTTACCACCACCAGCATGCTTACCTAGTGTGCTGTCTGTTTGTACCACCCTTCGACTTGATGAAAGGACGAGTTAAATTGCCGAGAGGGTAACCAGAGGGAAGGTGGAGAATCAAAGTGGAAAACCCACCCAAAGGTGATGGTTCGGTTGACCTCGCTGCCATCAGGTGCAGCGAGGTAGAGGGTATCCCTCACCACATGCCCGACAGAAAATAAGTAAGACTTGGCGTCATAGTCAGCTTCATAGTAGTCAACCGTGCTTGCGAACGCCCTGTAAACGCAGAGAGCATCGTCCCCTGGCAGCAGGCCCGTGGTGTTGACGTAGTTGGGCAGGCCCTCCACGTTGCATCCAAAAAAGCCATAATCAGAGCCCGTAATGCAGCTGTTGTCGGCGCAGGAGATGAAGGCGGCAGATGTGGATGAGAGCGTGCTGAAGGGCTTGCTGCCGGGCGTCTGGAGGGCGAGGGATATGGGGTTTGGATGGTTGACAGCAGGATGGATGGACGGAGGAGGTATGGGGGGAGGCAGGGGAGGAGAGGGGAGGGGAGGGGAGGGGAGGGGAGGGGAGGGGAGGGGAGGGGAGGGGAGGGGAGGGGGTGGGGACAGGGGGAGTGAGGCTAGAGACAGGGTAAGGATGTCGGTATGAGGGAAAAGAGAAAGAGTGTGGATGCCTCGAAAGGATTTTGCAACGTGCAAGGCAGATTCCCGGGCTATAGGAGGAGCAACGTGGTTGGATTGGATGCGGGTGCACGCGCGTTGTCACAGACAATGGACGAGGGGAGGAGGGAATGGAGGGCGGCGGCGATTGGCTTCCGTATGTGAATGGAAATCCATCTCAAATCACAAACGCACGAGGGAGGGAGGGAGGGAGGGAGGGAGGGAGGGAGGGGAGGGAGGGAGGGGGAGGGAGGGAGGGAGGGAGGGAGGGAGGGAGGGAGGGAGGGAGGGAGGGAGGGAGGGAGGGAGGGAGGGGTAAGCTGGAGTAAGGAAAGCGCAGAGGACCTTGACTGCGAAACAACTTGGCGGTGTGTAAAAAGAGGAGGGGAGCACGTCAGCAAGCTACAGAGTCGCATGCCCAAAAGCTGGCTCACACAAAATGTTCCCCCCAAAGTGCAAACCGCTCATTCCCAAAACGCCATTCCACTTTGAACATTTGCAGAGTGCTCGCACTCCCAGTCTCACACCCACAGTCGTCCCACACCGCCACTCTCTTGGTCCCTTCTCACTCCCCCTTGCGCGCCAAGGCACTCACCCCCCGGCGTGCGGTGCCGCAGTGGAGGCAGTCGCAGGGCACCCAGGTGTAGGGAAGGTACAGGTTGAGCGCCAAGCTGAACTGCTGCCGCTGCGACCCCAGCTTCAGATCCACGTAGTAGGGGTACACGCTGGGGGGAGAGAGGGCACAGATGGTGTGCGGGAGGTGAGAGAGGTGAGGGAGGTCAGTGGGGAGGCAAGCCATGTGAAGGTTAGGCTAGAAGAACTTGCGCGAGCGAGAGGCGGCACGTACGGGAGGCGTATCTTGGTGTTGTCTCCGAAGGTGCTGTAGTTGACAAACGCGTTGCCCAGGCTGCCGTTGGCCGTGGAGAGAAGCGTGCTGTCGTACTCTAGCATCGGCACGAATGCCGAGTCCTGCAACAGCGAGCACGGACGATATTTGAAGTGTGGCGCTAGGAAGTTAGGTCGGGTGTCTGTCAAGAGGCGGTGGCAAACGAAGGGTGTTGGCCTGACTACAAAAAGAAGAATACAAAAAGGTAGAAAGAGGAAACCAAACAGAAACTGGAAGATCCGGAGCGCTATGAGTCAATCGGTTAAAGCAAGCTCATGTGTTTCCGCTCCGGTTCCTGGCTGCAAGGCGACCGGAAAATGTCGCCATGGCGAAGAGGGTGATTGCCTGTGCGAGAAGGCCACTATGCTAGTAGCGGCCTTGAGGGCGTTCACTCACATTGGATGCCTTCTGGGGCCCTCCCTTGCCCTTCATGCCCCCCCCGATGTCCTGCAGAGATCACACATTGTTGGGGGAGTGCTATGTTGGGGCATGAGGAGACAGGAGGACGTGCACGTATACTCAGTTTCACGTCATTTTATTCCATTAATTGCGCACGGTAGCAAGCAGAGTTTAAATCGAAATTAGTAATTTCAAGCAGCAAACCCCCACTCCGCTGTGCTTCCCGTCTCACTGATGGCGCGAGAATCCGCCGGTGCAGCTCCTCCCTGCTGGGGGCGTCTTCCGCGCGCTGCAGGGGGAAGAACTGCGCGCCTGCTTCCGCTGATCGGCGCAGCCACTCCTCAATAGCGGACTCCGCGCCATCGTGATCACTCCCCGCACCCGTCGCGCCAACCGCCGCCTCCCCTCCGTTGCTGGCGGGCGGGTCGTGCTGGCGGCCTTGGGATGCGCCGACCTGCGGCAAATCGGTGAGAAACACGGAAAGAAACAGACGGCAGCGGCAAATCGGCGAGAGAGGAACAGACGCAAAGGAAAGAGCGTGATACTCGACGGAGAGATACTCCGTCGATACTGAAGCAGAAGCTGGATACGGAAAGAGGATGGGCTGGCATGGCGGAGCCGTGCCATGATGCGTGGAGAAGAGGTATGCCGCGGAGCCCTAATACAGAGTTGAGTCGCAGCGGCAGAAGAAGTTGTGTTTGAAGCCCTAGCCTGGTTAACTGTAGAAGGAAATAAATACATTTAGAAAAAAAAAAAAAAAAAAAAAAAAAAAAAAAACGTAACAGGCAAAAAGCTTGCCGTCCCAAAGTTGTCGTCAGATAAGGGCAAACCATGGAGCGACGCGAACGACGCGAAACAAGAAAAGCCCTCTCGGACTCAAGACGGAGTTGGACCCCTTCCGTGGGGGCCTTGGTGGAGTCCTCTTTCTTTCGGAAACCCCTTGATATCTGTTTGGACTGCCGCCGATGGATATTAAAAAAAAAAAAAAAAAAAAAAACAACAACAACAACCTCGGCAGCTTTTGCAACTGACCGACAAAAGGACCACATCAAAAGTCAACTGGCGGCGCGTCTGTGTGACATACCTCGGACTGCGAATCAGCGACGTCCGCGACGCCACTGGCCGGAGCACGTCCGTGGGTCTGAGAGACGGCGAGGGAGAGCAGCAGGAGCAGAACGAGCAGATGCGGCGAGGCGGCGAAGCGGCTCGAGAAAGCCGCGGCGGCGGCAGCGGAGCCTGGCGGCGGCGACCGGCGGGTCGAGAGACGCGAAGAACGCGGCGGGCTGTCAAAGGCCGCGCGGGCGCAGGAAGGGGACGCAGCAGCCATAGTGCCAAAAGATAGATTACTAGCCACGGCGGGGAGGAGGTTCGTGTTCTCTGCGCGTCGTCACGGTGACGATGACGGTAACGGTGACGGTGACGGCGGTGGTAAAGCTTCAGTGCGGACGGACTGGCTGGCGTGTGCTGCCAGCAGTGCTGTACTACGGAATGTCACGGTGGGAGAAGCAATACTTTGTGGTAGTAGTAAATCGCGGCGAGAAGGCAGTAGCATTAGTGGTAGTGTTCCTGCGACTGACTCTGACTCCAATGTTTGTGCTACCACGGAGTCGGGTGTAGCACGACTCATCCCTATACGGACTGGAGGACGTGATGGCTGCTCCAGGCGCATTATGCCCCCTCTCGCGCAACGCTATCCTTCCCACGCCAGTGGAACATCCGCACCACGCAATTGCTCGAAACAGCAGCCGATTGACGGTAGCGATGAGAGTGTCGGTCGGACCGGAATTCGGTTCAACTCGTGGTTGCCGTTGTAGCAGAGGTTCTATGACGGAACAACCGCAGTTGTAGCTACCAAGCTCGGAAACGTATACTGTACTCGTAGCGGGAATGGTTGGCGAGAGAGATAAGTGACAAACGTTCTGAGCCTGTTGGGCGTACGCGGTAGGAAAAGTCCCACGACCAATAAGGTTCTGCGAAACGCAGAAGTACTCGTTATTGTGCGGCTTTTTTAGGTAAGTAGGAGTTTTTGGTAAACCCAATCTCAATCCACTGCCCTACTTTTCCAACAACGGTAGCAAAAATCTCATGATGCCAGCAATTGTTATTGGTTACCCTATTTATGACAAATTGGTTGGTACCCTAGAAGCTGGGCTAGAACCGAGACATTGTGTTGTAGGTGGAGTTGAGGCAAAGCCATACAATAAGAACTTCCATACAGTTCAGCATGGTTACGTATGTCTAGTGCATCCATACAGCATTCTATCTACTGGTGGGAACATGCATTGCTTGCTTGCACCCTTCAACATGTTATAGCATAACTTATGCAACAATGAATGCCGTAAAGGCTAAACTTCAGGCATGTTTTGCTATCCAACGTGTGTCAAGTGGTGTAGAGAACTATCCAGGTGACAGTGTAGCCAACGAAGAAAAATAGACCACAAAAGATGTCTATGTTGACTGCAAGCCGATAGTTCCCTTCCTTGGCTCTGTCAGGGTTGGCTTGCCTTACATGGTAGCCGAACAACCTGAATCTCTGTCAAGTGGATGGCAGAAATATAAGTTGAGGAAGAGGAGGTTAGATGTGATAGGAGCGAGGGGAAACCAAAAGTCACGCTACAAAGGTAGCAGTGAAACCATGGGGGCAAAGCAGGGACTCAAGACTGCAAAATCGATTGGGTAGGGGGCATGACAGTGGCGCTATGGGGGGGGGCGGCGGCGCGCAATAGAGCGGTGGCAGTGACACGATCGGTAACTGTGAAGTGGGGCCCTTGCCAGAAACTACACTGCAAGGTGAGTCCTGCTTGACTCAGCAGCAGCAGCAGCAGCGGCAGCACTCAACACAGTGGTACATACCAGCAAGCCCGGGACGTTCTTCTTCTGCTTCTCCTCAGCTGCAGCAGCCCTCCTCTCGGCAGCAGCATCAGCAACGGCATCCACCTCTGTGCTCTCAGTTTGCTCCACGCCTTCTTCCGCCTCCATCAGCTTCTCGCTTGCTGCCGGGTCCGCAACAGTGAACGCCCTGGTCATTGCGGGTGGCAGGTTCTCGATAACAGTCTCCTGGACGTTCTTCTCGATGCGCTCGGCGATGGCGAAGACAATGAGGGCCTCCATGGTGCAGAACCAGATGACCACGTAGGAGACGATCATCAGATAGCCGAAGCTGGTGATGGCGGATGTGCGTGGGAGCTAGGAAGGCAGGGAAGGGGGTGGGGGTGGGGTTGGGGTGCAGGGGAAGGGAGGAGGGATAGAATAGGACAGGCTGACAGCGTTGGTGGTGCCCGACGTGCACAGCAGCAGGGGGTTCGGAAGGGGGAATAGCAGGGCAGAGCTGGTGGTGTACAACGTGCGCAGTAGCTAACAAGCAATGTGCAAAAAAAGGCGTTTTTTACCTTTTTTGACCGTTTAAAACGGGATCGTATAAAACGGTCGTATAAAACGGTCGTATAATACGATTAAAACGGTCGAAAGTTGCATTTTGAGTTTGGTGCAAAAAAACGGCCGTTTTATACGACCGTTTTTTTCGTACCACCGTATAATACGGAGTACATTGTTTTTGGCCGAGCTAATAACGCTTAGGGGGGGGAGGACTAGGGGGGGGAGGACTAGATGGATGACGCTTAGGAGGAGGAGGACGGGGGGGATGGTGGAGTAGGAGCAGAATGAGACCTGGAAGGCAACGGACTAGGGGCATGAACATCACATGCCTGTTTCAAAGCCGCTAATTACCCCGTAGAACGATGCAGTCCGCCTTAGCAATCACGCCACTTGTTTACGCGTGCTTTTTATACATTAAAAAAAAAAAAAAAAGGTCTAACAAAAAAACGTCGTTTTTTACCAAAACCCACCGTAAAAAACGGCCGTTTAAAACGGACCGTTTAATACAGATGCCGTTTTTTTGCACCTTGCTAACAAGGCAGGGGGAGAGAGTACAGAGTACAGGAGGGCTTGGGGGACAGGGGTGGTGATGGCTGAAGCATATGGGAGCTAAGAAGACAGGGGGAGGGAGGGAGAGGGAGCCGCATACATCTGCCATCCTCAACCCTGTACCCCCCAACGAACACCCCCCCTTCCCCCCCCCACCCTCTTTCCCCTTTCTCCATAATAAGCGTGTATTCCTACGAGCGGGGATCAGGATCAGACTCATGCGGTTCTGTACGGTGCAAGTGTTGGAGTCACGTTTTAGTGCGGTTCCTTTTGGTTCTGCACGAGTCGGATCCTGATCCCGTTGCCTAGGAATATGCCCTGAGCTTAGTTATTTAGCCATTGGTACTTTGGGCGGATAGTGTTGGTGACAAATGACGTGCATGGCAGCTGGGCTGGGGTAACGTAGAGTGGACGTTGGGGGCCAGAATTATCCGGGAAAAGAAAAAGCTGTTCTTTGCACTCGTACAAGGTGTGTCTCCAACAAATATGAGTGAATTGGGAGTGTGGGACCACTCAAGCGGGCTGCTCAACGAAGCGACGGGCAATGATGCATGGAAAGCAAGGCAGGCGGAAGGCAATCTGTGTGATCATCAATGAGCCAAGGGCCTCACCTTGCCTTGGGTGTGCCACTTGCCTCACCTGCCCTTGGGTGTGGTAGGGGGCGAGGGACAAAGGGCCCAGGGGCTTCACCTGATCGTCGTTGGGTGTGGCGAGGGCCAAAGGGCCAAGGGGCCTTACCTGGCTGTCAATGAGCCAAGGGCCTCACCTGATCGTCGATGACGAACTGGATGGCGGCGAGCGCAAGGAAGAGCGTGAGGCAGGCACCGGAGCGAATCTCAAGATCCTCCGGCTTGGCAACGAAAGACGTGAAGGTGAGGTACACACTGAGGATCACCGGCAGCAGGATCTGTATAGGGGAAAAGGGGGAGAGAGAAGTGAAAAGGTGAGGTACACACTGAGGATCACCAGCAGCAGGATCTGTATCGGGGAAAAGGGGGAGAGAGAAGTGAAAAGGTGAGGTACACACTGAGGATCACCGGCAGCAGGATCTGAACGGGACGGAAGGCGGGGGATGGGAACAGAGTGCACGGACAGGGCGGAAGTCGAGAAGTGTGAGGATCACAGGCAGCGGCACCGAGAGGAAGGGGCAAACGAGGGAGCGGGCAGCGGGGAGCACGGACAGCGGTACGAGAGCCTGACGTAAACAGGTGAGTATACTGTACTGTGTAACACGTAACGAACAAAAGGGGTGTGGATTGCAGTTGCTGAGATGGATTTTTGAGTTATTTTCAAGAGCGGTACCGACCGAGATGACGTAGACAGCGCTGGTGCGCTGGATCTGGATGGTGAAGATGCACGTGGTGCTCTGGTTACTCGCACTGCCATCATCCCCACCACCCGAGCTGGCAGGGACAGCGGTCCAGGGGTCCTCTGGAGGGGAGTAGTTGGTGGAAAGAGAAGCAGGCATAGGGCAGATGTGAGCGATGGGGCACGTGTGAAAAGAGAGAGGCCTGAGGAGGGGGAGAGGCATGAGGAGGGGGAGGGGCATGAGGAAAGGGAGAGGAATGAGGAAGAGGAGGGGCATGAGGAAGGGGAGGGGCATGAGGAAAGGGAGGGGCATGAGGAAAGGGCTCTCAGGCAGGCATAATCTGATGTGACGGGCAGGTTGCAAAGAGGGGTTAGAGTGCAGTTGAAGGTGAAACCATGCCTTCCATGCAGGTGCATGTCCAGAACCCATACAGGTACGACGATCTCCCACACACCCATACACCCATACACGCATACACATACACACCCCACCCACCCACCCACTCACCCAACCATGCACGCACGCTCACACAGCCCCTTCTCCCCCTCCAACCCACACGTGACTCGTGTGCTTCGGCCCACCTGGATGGTAGGTGGCGGAAGTGGCGACGGTGGTCTGAGCAGGATTGCAGTCGAGAGCCACACTTGTGATCTTCCACCCAGTCACCTCGTCGTTCACAAACGAGCCTCCCCCTCCCCCCAGCTGCCCGCCCCCCTGCTCGGACTTGCGCCCCGAGTTGCTGCCCACCAGGTAGAAGCCACTGCCCTCCACTGACACGGTTAAACGCAGGGTCTGTGGTTGAAGAAGGAAGGAGAGAGGGAGATGGAACGACAGAGGACAGAAGCGGGGGGGGAAGGGGGGGGGAGGGGAGAAGAGAAGATATGGAACACGGAAGGGGTGGAGGTAGGTAGAGAAAGAGGAGGGAAAAAGCGTGAAAGCATGTGGGTACGCAAGCGCGGACAACATGTGGCGCTTACCTGGGTGTCAAAGGGGAAGCTGTGGAAGGTGAAGGGGGAGGAGAAGGTGCCTGCAGGAGGAAAGCGGAGGAAGGGAATGGGAGGGAGATAGGGGAGACAAATGCAGAACACAGATGGAAGAAGGCAGAGGAACAAAGGGCATGGTTGGAAGCAGGCAGAGGAAAGCAGCGCCTGGGGCATGCAAGTGAGAAAGTGAATATTCCTTACCCTCGTCCCCGCCTGCGCCCTCCTCCATACCAGACAGAAAGAGTGACGGGCACGCGTGGAAGCAGGCAGAGGAAAGCAGCGCCTGGGGCACGCAAGTGAGAAAGTGGGAATATGTCCGTACCTTCAAGAATGGCCTCTCTGTCCACGGCACTGGCATCGGTGCTGTAATCCCCGAAGAAGAATATGCTCTCTGCCAGCACCGGCAGGCGGGCGGGGGCAAGGGGGGGGAAAGAAGCAAGAGGGGTGGGTGGGTGGGGGGAGACGAGGCAGGGGGGAAGGGATAGGACGGGAGGGCTAGGGAGGAAGTGAAGTGGACGAGAGGGACGTTATGGCCCATGCAACGTTGCACCGCCACACCAGCACAACCCACTCAACCCATCTGCCCCTTCCGCAGCCCCACCCTCTCTCCCCCGCGCACGCCCCTCTACTGGTGGTACGCAGCCAGCAGCACCGCCGCCACAGGGTGAGTCAACGGCGTGCACACCATCTTCCAGGGCCCCTTCCTTCGCCCCCGCCTACACCTTCCACACCAGACCACCTCCAGGGGCCGCCCTTCCTCTGGCTCCTGTGGGATCAATCAAGGCAACGCCCCACGTACCGAGGCTAACTAAGTGAGCCACGCATCCTTCTCTGGCTGGCACACTGCCCAGGCTCACCAGTTTGGTATCGGTCTTGCGGGTAGAGTATGACGTTGGGGATGGTGAGCGAGGGGATCCAGATGGAGTCGCAGCACGTGATGCCGGCAGGCGTGCATGGCTTGCTGCAGCCGTCCATCTGCGGAAGGTTGTTCTGCACCCCGGGGACGCAGGGGAGCAGGGACGGTGCGAACAGGCCAGAAAGAGCAGAGGAAGCAAAACGGCTCGAAGGAGTTTAGCATGGCAGATAGAGAGGGAGAGAAAGAGAAGATGCCATGGGAGAGGAACAGGGGAGGTGAGTGAGGCCAAGGGCTGGTTGAACAGGAAGTAGCTGAGATTGATGAGGTGAGTGGGATGGAAATGGGTCATTGTCTAGCCAGCCCCATCCGCACGTGTCTTACCCACCCCCCCCCGCCTTCCCCCCCCCGCCCCCCTTTCCTACTCTCCCTCCCATTTCCCCCCCCACAGCCCCGTCCCCCTCGTCTTGCACTTCCGACATTTCCCCATGTCTCATCCCCCTCCGCTTCCCGACCTGTTTCAAGTTCTTGAGGCAGTCGTCGTTCTGGCTGATGTTAAACCCGGAAAACGTCGCGTTCGGCTTGCACTTCTCCGTGGCTCGCCACGTCAGCGCGGGACCCATGGTCGTCAGCGCCTTGTTGATCGCCACCGTGTCGTTCACTGCACGCACGCCATGCCATGCCATTCCAACGTCACGCGATGCCATGAGGAGAATTGTGGGGTACTTCCATGCCCGGAGGCGCACTGGTAGCAGCCCCACCATACGAGATAGGGGGAACAATCACGAGCGAGAGCGGTGCGCGCGCGCAGAGGAGGACACGGCAAGCAGGAGGCGGACGCACGAGGGGGACGGAGCACGCACCTCTGGGGTCGCGCCACGTGACAACGACGGCGAAGTAGGCGCTGAAGCTGTACTGGATCTCTGCGCGCCATGCACCGCACGGCCAGGAGAAAAGGTGGAAGGCACGGATAGAGGTGAAGGCACGAGGCACGGATAGAGGTGAAAGCATGGATAGGGGAGAAAGCAGCTCAGGCCGTTGTTCAAGTGAACGGCCCGCCGCGCAGCGGTGGTCAACGAAACGAGCCAAGGTACCATAGGCAGCGAAACAACGATGGGGGGAGGGGGGGGGGGGGCGGGGGGGGGGGGCGGTTGTGGGGAGTGGGGTGTGGTATTGTGGGGTGGTTCGTGGGGGAAGAACTGGGGTGGATACGGCAGTCATGCGCGTACCGTCGACGGCGATGAGCTTCTTGAGCAGCACGGAGAGGTAGACGGGCGTCTTGTCGGCCGCCAGCCCCGCCGTGTACGGGTCGATGCCCTGCCCGATCAGCGGACAGTCCGTCTGCGCCAACGCCCTCCGCACTCCGCTTCCGCCTCCGCCGCGCTCGCCCGCCGGCGCCAGGAGCGCGAGAAGGAGCAGGAGCAGCGAAATCGACGCTCGTGAAGACGACATCTGTGGAGAACAGCGACGGCACGGTGGCGACGTGACGGCACGGAGGCCCGCGACGACCGGCGAATACCTACTAGTAGAGATAAATTACGAGAGAGAGCCCGAGTAGTTGTCCGAGTGGGAGGAGAGATCACGAGGAAGGGGATCGAGGCGAGGCGATGTGATGTTACCCCCACGAATGCAGAGGTGGAGCTGCTCGGTTTGCTGGAAGCTTGTGAAGAGGCAACGCACGGAATGCAGAGGTGGAGCTGTACGAGTATCGAGTAGAGCGAGGAGCATGATGATGTTTGCAGAGTGGCACAAGGCCGTCGGGTGTGTACGGGGGGATGAGGATTGCCCAGTGTCGCGGGGGAGGGGGCGGTGATAAAGAGTGAAGAGGAAACGGGCAATGGGGGCGGAAGGGGCCCCCACCCTTGGAGACGGGACTTCATGTCGCAAAGCAACGCATGGGTTGCGAGGTGATGGTTTGGATTGGCTCGAGGTGTAGCTTGGGGCTAGGTTTAGGGATAGGCTGGGGATACAGGTGCGGTACGGCGGCGGCTGTAGTGCGGTGCTTTCAGCTGAGCGCGACGGATAACGTATGTGAGGCTGAAAGTCGCCCGAACAACTTTCGTTTATGGGCACTGACAGCTCGCGGTCCGATGGTCTGCCCTCAAAGTATGCACTTGCCAAGTAGTTCCCAGGGAAACACATTTTGGTGCAATGCGAATGCAGTGTGGTGCACTTGGTTGGTTGGATGGGGCGTGTACAGCAGTACATGTGCAGGTTCATACTGGACACGGCCTCGCTAGACGTCAATCAGACTTTTTACAAACGCTACGAAACTTACTCAACTGGACGAAACGAACGGAAAATGTACTCATGTAACATGGAAACAACACTTTAGGGAGTGCATGAAGTAAACGGGCAATGCCCGATAAGCTATTTTGATGTCACTCAGAGACGTCCGCGCGACGTCAATTTTGCTTATTCCAAGGGCTACACAAGCACATTGAACAATGAGGATATGCGAAACATCCTGGAAACTTTTTTGGGGTTGCTAAAACCGAAACGCGATGTGACCAGAAAGGTTTGCCAAAAAAATATTGTAACGCGCGAAACAAGCGAGAGATTGTACATCGCATTCGTTTTTGGATTACACCGCTTGCGAAAATCCCTCTCTCGCGTGCTGGTTCGTGCTTTCGCCGCATGTTTGGTTTTGTTTTTTTTTACCCCTGCCCACGGGCATTGTTTTGGGCAGCGCAAAATGAGCTGGGACCTCAGCTCGGATGCGTCGTATTTTCCGTTGAACACTGACAGTGCGTCTACAGTAATTGTTACATAGGGTAACCACACTAAACTGTCGCTGACGTCCCGGGACGTCATTCTCGGTTTCACTTCATACACCCTTAGTGTACTGTGTTGAAGCCCGGGAAATCCTGGCTTTGGGAAAACCTTGAGTCACCTGTTTCGGGCAATGTACACAGCATTTGTAGCTGATGTAGCAACGACGTGCTTTTTATCCAATCGCTCGTCTGTGGCCCGACGCGAGGCGATTAGGTTCGGCTGCAGCCGTGCCGCGCTCGTTCAGCGCGGAACCAATCGGGGCTCCGATCTCGGGCAGCTGCTCAGCCACAAACCCTCGGATTCGTCTAAAGTCAGCACCGCCAACCCATCCCCCCCACATCATTCCGCCCAACATGCAATCCCCAAGCATCATCGCGTTTCTTCCGCCTTCATCCCTCTCCCCGCCCCTGCGAATGCCTCGAGTCACGCGCCTCCCCCACTCGTCGCGTCGTCCTCACGTCCTACGCTTCTTGCCTACGCTGAGCCATCCACGCATCTCCCCTTTTCTCAAGTCACGCATACACAACACACAACTGCAGATGCCATGCACTACACCCTCTATAGCGCATAAGCAGAAGACAACGCTCGTAGTCGTCTCTCGCCGCTCCCCCTCAACATTCGCGCCGCCCCCGTGAAGAAATTCAGGCAATCAAGTCCGTCCCCGTGCTTTTCTGTCGTAAGCTTCGATGGCGGCGGCGTTATTAGTCACCGCTGGCTGGAGGGAATCATCGCACGCCGTGCTGCTACTGCTACTCGCCATGGTGCTTCTGCTCCCGTGGACCGGCGTTGGGTTCGCCGCGGCGCAGACGGACTGCCCGCTGATCGGGCAGGGCATCGACCCGTACACGGCGGGGGTTGCGCCGGAGAAGCCGAAAGTGTTCCTCTCGGTGCAGCTCAAGAAGCTCATCAGCGTCGACGGTGAGACATGCGCACGCGCCATGCCGTCACGCTCGCCACACGCACGCTCGTTCGCACGCACTCACGCAGGTGCACATACAGGTGTACGTGTGCCCGGGATGTGCGCGCGCGCGCGCACACACACACACACACACACACACACACACACACACACACACACACACACACACACACACACACACACACAAGCACACACAGTCAATGTACCCCACACCTCCATTTCCTCCTCCCCCTGCCTGCAGCCGTCAAGTACAGCTACCTGGCGTATTTCCAAGTCATCTCCTCATGGAGAGACCCACGAGGTGCGTTCCGCCCTCCTAGGTGAGTCCATACTAAGACTAGCGGCCCGCGCTCTCTGCACGCCCACCGTGCAGGGCATGGGGCCCCCATCTTCCGCGCTTGGTGCCGAACTGGGGAAACAGTACTCGTCCGTACCGAGCCAATGCCCATGGCTGCGCGTTTTAGTTGACGGATATTCCGCGGGTGGGACGTTTTGTTGCGCATGCCACCGCAATTGCACCTCCATCGCCTCGTTGTCGTCGCCAAACTACGTGCTTATACGATGATGATGGTGATGCTGATGCTGATGGTGATGCTGATGGTGATGCTGAGTGATGCTGATGGTGATGCTGATGGTGATGTGCCGATGGATTGGCCATCAACTTCCCCCGTTTTCCCGTTGTTCGCACGCGGTGGGCGTGCTTAATTATTCAATTGCGACTTGTCTTGCGATTCTGAATGCGACTACATCTCGTCCCAATTCAGGGTGCCTGTGTGCCTGTGCCTGTGCCTGTGCCTGTGCCTGTGCCTGTGCCTGTGCCTGTGCCTGTGCCTGTGCCCGTGGCTGCGTCTGTTCCTGCTGGCAGTGAACGACACGGTGGCCATCAACAACGCCATCAACACCTTCGGTCCGAGCCTCACCGCGATGGCCACGGACAACTGCAAGCCGAACGTGTCGTTTTCGGGGTTCAACATCAGCCAGAAGGAGGACTGCCTGAAGAACCGCAAGCAGAACAACCTGCCGCAGATGGACGGGTGCAATAAGCCGTGCACCCCATCGGGCATCATGTGCTGCGACTCCATCTGGATCCCCTCGCTCACCATCGACAACGTGCTCTTCTACCCGCAGGACCGCTTCCAAACAGGTCCGTGCTGTCAGATAGCAGGGCAGATACGTAACAGGTGCGTCCATGGCAGCACCGCGTGCGCGTACAGCTTGCTCATGACACATGCTGCGCACTGTTGCATCGTCCTACCAGTACGCTGGTTGGTCTCAACTCAAAGCCATGTTTCTTCGGAATTCTTGTCAGACCCCCTTCTCCCCTCCTTCTCCCCTCCTTCTCCCCTCCTCCCCCCCTTCTCTCCCCCGTCCCTGCCGCGCCTCCCTGCCCACCCCCGCTGCATGCCCCCCCACAGAGAGCATCTACTTCTTCGGGCAGTACAGCAACGAGTTCAGCTCCGTCGACAGAGAGGTCGTTGTGGGAGGTGCGCCTCTGCTCTCCTCCCTCGTCCCGCTCCCTCCCGCTCACTCCTCTCACCCGCCCCTTTCCCCACCCACCCCTGCTTCCACTCACCCGTCCTCCCTCTGACCCTCCTCTTTGTGCCATGTGTCCGTTCTATGGCCTTTTTCCTCTCTCCCTTCCTCCACTAGTATTCAACTGCTTTCTTCCTCTTATGCGTGATTCACAATGCTGCTATCTTGTGCTTTACTGGGTATATCCATGCAACCTCACACGTTCTTTGCTTGTGTGTGACTTCGTGGGTGTGTGCATGTGTGTGTTCGGTAAGGGGGGGGAAAGCGGGGAGGGGGGAAATGTGGGGGGGGGGGTGGTAAAGGGGGTGAGAGCGAGCGTGTGAATGTGTGTGTGTGGTGGTGGGTGTGTGTGCTTGTGGGTGTGGGTGTGGGCGTGTGTGGGTGTGCGTGTGTGTGTGTGTAACAGGCGAGTTCTCCTCACCCCTCAACTTCAAGAAGTTTCCTGTTGACATTCAGGTGACGCCCCTGTTCACACCTCGTTCCACATCGCTTTGCTCCCTCCCTCCCACATGCCAGCGCTCTCTATTGCTCCACCGATCTGCCTCGGCCCCGTCCCTCAGCCACACACACACTCACACACCCACACTCACACACACACACACACACAGACACACACACCCACTCACACACACACACACACACACACACGTTTGCGCGCGCGCAGAGCAGCAGACGACTTTAAAACCAACTTCCTTCCCGCCCCGTGCCCTCCCAACCCCCGCAGACGCTGCGGCTGAGCATTCAGGTGGAGAGCGGGGAGTTTTATCTGGTGCAGAGCAACTCGGGGCGCGAGTCAGAGCAGGGGGGGGGGCAGCTGGGGGGGGGGGGAGGCACGTATGTGAATGACGAGGTGACGGGGTGGAAGATCAACAGCGTCGCGCTCAACTGCACGCCCACTGCCACCACCGTCGCCACCACCGCCACCTACGCGCCTGGTAACCACCAACGTGCCTCGTAACCACTCATGTGGTAACCACCTCGATTACTACCAATACCTCTTTCCCTGACCTGCTTAACATGATGTACGTAGTTGCTTGCCGTGTGTGTTGCATTGCGCAGACGACCCCTGGTCCTCGTTCTCCCAGAGCTCCTCCTCCTCCGATGCTGCCAGCAGCGACCAGTCCACGTCGTGTGTCTTCACCATCCAGGTCTCCCGCACCAGCGGCGTCTTCATCATCTCGGTATGCCTCTCACTCCCTGTCTTGCCATGATCTCAGAGTGCCACTTCTACGTCTTTCGTTCAGTATCTCCTCATCGTTTTTGTGCACATATTTCTGCCAACATCGTACCGGTGGCAAGGCAACCCTTGGTATTCTGTGCCTCTCCCCTCTTCCCTCCCTCTTTCACGTCGTCTGCCCCCCACCTACCTCTCTGTATCCCCTTCACCTGTGACCTCGTCCAGATTATGGTGCCGGTGCTGCTGAGCGTGTATCTGTGCTTCTCGGTGTTCTTCGCTAAGCCCGACGACCTTGAGACTCGATCCGCCACCTTCGTCACACTCTTCCTCGCCCTCGCAGCGGTGCAGTTCGTCATCGACAGCCAGGTGGGCCTGCCTTGCCTTGAACTCGCCCATGCACATGCACATGCACATGCACATGCACATGCCCTTGCCCATGCACAGGCATATGCACATTCCCACTCCCATGCCCATGCCCACGTGCTTACACATGTGCTGGTATAGCTCGCATCGCATGTAGTACAGCTCGGGCTTCCAATGTATACGGGCTCTGTGTGTAGCAGTGCAGTAATAAGGGTCAATCAGTCTCGCGCTAGAGCTGATTCCGAATGTCTTGGGGTTTGCACAGCTCGTTGGCGAAGGGCAAGTGACGAGCAGGAGAGTGTCGCACTCCTTTTGTCACATCTCATTCTTTTTTACCTCCCTCCATTTCCTGGTCGTCCCCCTCTTCTCCCACTCCTGTTCTTCTCTCTTTGTTCTCATCTTCCCCCCCCCCCCCCGTGCACCCCTTTCCCCACCAGCTGCCGCGATCGTCCGCCATCACGCGGTTTGGCTATCTGGTCATCATCTCCTACGTCTTCATTGTGCTCACCGCCGTGGAGACCCTCATCGTCTACCTCATCGCCGACCGGGTGAGCTCCGTGCTGCCTCTTGTCTGGGTTATCATCGCCCCCCTGCATGATACCTGGCTGACAAAAAAGGCTGTGGTATCCACCTGTGTGCGTTCGGTGCTGCTGTGTGCAGCTGGAGAAGGATGTAGTGGAGGCTGTCAACGAGATGGGCACGATGGCCACGCTGGCTTCAATGGGCACAATGAAACAGCCCTTCTCTGAGCAAGAGGAGCAGAGCCCGCAAAAGCACGAAACTTCCTGTGCGTTTGGCCCTAGCAAGGGTGGCAGCACAGGAGAGGACGGCGAGGAGCTTCGCCCTGCTGGGACAGAAGAGGGGGATGACGATGATGGGGGTGAGGGGGGGAGCGCCAGTGCAGGCGGCAGTGGCGACGGGGCGAGGTTTCAAGCGGGCTGCCTGGATACAGAGAGGGCGCCACTCAAGAAAGGAGATACCCACCACTGGGTGAGTGGGTGGGCGTGGTAGGTCACGCTTGTGCAAGATAGGCCAACATACTTGGACTTCCTTTCATTGCATGGCCTCCTGGCTTTTACCTGCATCTTGTATTGTGCATTGTTGGGGGGAGGTGTTGATGTGCCATGAGTGTTGGATTCACTTCCCTTGCCCCGCTTGTGGCCCAATACTGTGCTGCAAAATCAGCCTTCATCATTCCGCTTCTATCGGTATCTTGTACAGAAACTCAGCCTCTTTGGCTACCACTTTAAGCCCGTCGACGAAGAGCGCGCAAGCGGAGGCAACTATCTTCTGGCTGTTAGAATTGACTTCGTGTGCTGCGTCCTCTTCTTTTTTGGTTACACTCTCACTGTCATCCTTCTCTACACTCTTTAGATGTGCATCATGTTAAATTATATATTGAGTTATATAATTGTTAGGCTTGGTAGGATAACAAACTTTACTGTAGAGGGTACAATCTGTCAAACATGTGTATTTGTCATGTTTGTATAGATTGTATAGGGTCACCTCTTAGAGGGTACAACACTTAGGTATATCTGTGTGTACTCTCACTCTACCATCATTCACTTCTCTGATTTTGATATGGTATCATGCGTAGGTTAGGATCCCCCCCCCCCCCACCTACCGCTTCCGCTCGCCCCCCTAGCTAGGCCCCGCCGTGCCTCGCCCCTAGCCCCGTCGTGCCCCTAGCCCCGTCGCGACCCCCTGGGCCCCGTCGCGCCCCTCCTGGGCCCTGTAGCGCCCCTCCTGGGACCCGTAGCGCCCCTCCTGGGCCCCGTCGCGCCCCTCCTGGGCCTAGTAGCGCCCCTCCTGGGCCCCGTCGCGCCCCTCCTAGGCCCCGTAGCGCCCCTCCTGGGCCCCATCGTGCCCCTCCTGGGCCCCGTAGCGCCCCTCCTGGGCCCCGTCGCGCCCCTCCTGGGCCCCGTAGCGCCCCTCCTGGGCCCCGTCGCGTCCCTCCTGGGCCCCGTAGCGCCCCTCCTGGGCCCCGTCGCGCCCCTCCTGGGCCCCGTCGCGCCCCTCCTGGGCCCCGTCGCGCCCCTCCTGGGCCCCGTAGCGCCCCTCCTGGGCCCCGTCGCGCCCCTCCTGGGCCCCGTAGCGCCCCTCCTGGGTTCCGTCGCGCCCCTCCTGGGCCCCGTAGTGCCCCTCCTGGGCCCCGTCGCGCCCCTCCTAGGCCCTGTACCGCCCTTCCTGGGCCCCGTAACGCCCCTCCTGGGCCCCGTAGCGCCCCTCATGGGCCCCGTCGAGCCCCTCTTGGGCCCCGTCACGCCTTCCGGCCCCGTTCGGCCCTGTCGCGCCCGCCCGGCCCCGTCGCACCCTGCCCGGCCCCGTCGCAGCCGCCCGACCCCGTCGCACCCGCCCGGCCGCCGTCCCGCTCGCCCGGCCCCGTCGCACCAGCCCGGCCCTATCGCACACGCCCGGCCCCGTCGCCCCAGCCCGGCCCCGTCGCGCCCGCCCGGCCCCGTCGCCCCGGCCCGGCCCTGTCGCACCAGCCCGGCCCCGTCGCGCCCGCCCGGCCCCGTCGCGCCCGCCCGGCCCCGTCGCCCTCGCCCGGCCCTGTCGCACCTGCCCGGCCCCGCCGCGCCCGCCCGACCCCGTCGCACCCGCCCAGCCCCGTTGCACCGGCCCGGCCCCTGCGCTCGTCCCTGCCCTGGCCCCGTCCTCCTCACTGGTACGGTTCCCCCCCCCCCGCCCTGCACTGCCCTGCACCGTACCGCACTGCACCGCACTGCACCGCACTGCACCGCACTGTACCGCACTGCACCGCACTCCACCTAGCTGCACTGCCCTGCACCGCACTGGACTATTCCTGATGGCGGCGGAGCTTCGCTTCGACGCTGAAGGTCAGCCTCTAGAGTTCGAGGCGTGGCTTGCCGACCTCCGCCGCCAACTCACTGGCCAGCGGCAGGATGGTGAACCGCTTTCCGCACACCTTGACGGTACGCTCCCCTGCCCAGACCCCCCTGCTATTCTGCCCGCTGACCCCACACCCACTGAGCGCGAGTCTACTGCTGCCACTGCCCGTGCGCGCTCTGTCTGGCTTTCTCGCGATGCTGTCGCCCAGCTTGCCATTAGCAATGCCCTCCCCCCGTCCGAGCGCCCTCGCTTTAGGTCCCTCACTACTGCTCAGGCATACTTAGATGCTGTCATCCAGCGCTATTCCACCCCTCCGGCTGCCTCGGTGGGTCGCCTGATCCTCCCGATGCTCTTTCCTGACCTTGCATCTTTCCCCACTCTCTCTGACCTCGCTGCCCACCTGCGCTCGATAGAGGAGACCCGGCGCGCTGCCTGCACTGACGCACAGCTTAGAGCCCACCAGCCGCCCATTACCTCTACCCTCTACCTGCTTGCCACCCGCCTCCCTGACCGCCTTGCTGTCGCCCGCGACCGCTTCCTTAGCATTCACCCCGCCGACCTCACCCTCACTGACTTTGTAGACACCCTGACTGTGATAGAGACCCGTCACCGCTCCATCGCCCAGGCGAGCGGTGTCGTGCCGGTCCCTATCTTTCAGGGTTGTGCCCCCGCCCAGTGTACCTTCTCCGACGGCTCTGTCGCAGTGGCTGAGACAGCTGCTGCAGCGCAGTTTCGTTCGGGGAAGGGCCGCCGCCCCAAGGTTGGGCGCGGCGGAGGCGGAGGCGGGGGTGCGGGAGGGGGTAGTGGTGGGGTCGGGTCGTCTGGTGCTGGAGCGGACGAGGGGACCCTGCCCAGTCCAGCTGAGCCGCCGCCCCTGCAGTTGAAGCAGCCGCAGCAGCCGCCGCAGTCGCAGCCTTCGCAGCAGCCGCAGCAGCCGTCGCAGACGCGGCAGACGAGTGTCCTCCCGCCCGGGTGGCCCGGCGCTGGCGGTGGCCGGGCGCGTGGTGGTGTGCCGAGTGGTAGCTTTGGCGGCGGGCGCTGTCAGTACCAGATCCAGACCGGTCCTCGCCGCGGCTTCGTATGCGGTAAGATCGGTCACTCCACTCCCCGCTGTTTTCGTCGCCTGGACGACCTCTTTCGTCAGCGCTTCGGCCCGTCGCCAGACCTCCCGGACTGGCACAGTTTGCTTAGTCGTAAGATTTAGATATTATATATGGACATGCATGCCATTGTTTCTGCTCTGCATGTGATGTATGCTGATGACTCTAGTGTGCTTCCAGCTTATTACTCACTGTTGCCTAGTGTAGGTGTGCCTAGCGTAGCCTCCTCTGCTGCGTCAGGCGTAGGATCCTCTGCTTTGTGTAGTCTTGGTGCTTCCGCCGTCGTTCCGTCGCCTGACGCCTCTGCTTCGCTTTCCTTCACCTTGGACTCTGGCGCTTCTCGGTGTTTCTTCCGCGACTCCACCACCCTGACGCCGCTTCCTGTTCTTGCTGCCGTTTCTCTTGCTGACCCCTCCGGCGGTCCGGAAGTCGCCCGCAGTTCCACCACCCTTCCCTGTCCGGCGGTTCCTTCGGGCACTCTCATAGGTCTGCATATCCCCTCGTTCTCCAGGAACCTAGTTGGTGTCGGCTGCCTCCAGGACCTTGGCGTCACCACTACGTTCCCTGGTCACGAGCGGTATGCTGTCTGTACCGAGGCCGCCACTGGTGCCCCCCTGTCCACGTTCCCCCGGGACCCGGTGTCCGGCCTGTTCACTCTGGACACCGTGACCCCCCCGGCTGGAGCGCTCACCCAGGTTGCTGCTGCCTGCTCCTGTCGGTCCCTCACTCACCCGACCCTCCTTTGGCACCACCGCCTAGGTCACCCTGCGCTCCCGCGTCTGCGTCACATGTCCCAGCACGGTCTTGTCCTTGGTCTCCCAGGTTCTCTCCCCGCGTTTCCCTCCTCCCCAGCCCTACCTTGCACGCCTTGTGTCGAGGGTCGGCTTTGCCGTGCCCCTCACTCCTCTTCGTTTCCCCTTACCGCCGCGCCGCTGCAGACCCTGCACCTAGACGTCTGGGGCCCCGCCCCCGTCCCTGGGCCGCGTCGAGAGCGCTACTTCCTTGTGCTCGTCGAGGACTTCACTCGTTACACCACAGTCTTTCCCCTGGAGCGCAATGCCGACGTGCCTGGCGCTCTCATCCCCTGGCTTGTCTCTGCGCGTGTCCACCGCGGTCTCCCTGTCTTGCGCCTTCACTCAGACCGTGTTTGCGAGTTTGCCTCAGGTGTCCTTGGTCGCTTTTGTCGTGCGGAGGGCATCACCCAGACGTTCACCCTACCGGACTCCCCACAGCAGAATGGGGTCACTGAGCGACGCATCGGTTTGGTCATGGAGGTGGCTCGCACCTCCATGATCCATGCTGGTGCACCCCATTTTCTGTGGCCGTTCGCTGTACGCTACGCTTCTCACCAGCTTAACTTGTGGCCGCACCCTCAGCAGCCGCAGGTTTCGCCGACCCGTCTTTGGACTGGGTCTCCTGGTGACGCGTCTGCGTTCCACGTCTGGGGCTGCCTTGCTCACGTTCGTGCCTCCGGCATGGACAAGCTCACCGCCCGCACTCTTCCCTGCGTCTTCCTCGGTTTTCCCCTTGACACGTCCGACTGGCACTTTTACCACCCGCCGTCTCACCGCTTCTTTCACTCTCGTGACGTCACCTTTGACGAGTCCGTCCCCTACTACCGTCGCTTCCCCCACCGTGGTCCCCCGGTTACCCCCCCCTGTTCCTGGCCACTCCTTCCCCGGTAGTCCCTGCCCCTCCTCCTCCTCCTCCCCGTCCCGCCCCCTCTGGTGTGTCCCACGTCACCCCCCTTCCGTTGGTGGACCCGGGTGAGGAGTCTTCTGACTCTGGTGGCCCTCCTGTGCAGTCCTCCCCGGCTGCCCCTCCCCCGGCGTCCCCTCCCCAGTCCCCTCCTCCACCGCCTCTGCCGCCGCTGCAGCCGTCGTTGTCGCTGCCGCCGCCGCCGCTGCCGCCGCCGCCGCCGCCGTCGCAGCACCCGTTCGCTGACTCTGGGGGTGCTCGTCCCGGTCGCCCAGGGGGTGGCCCCTCTGGGGGTGCTGGTGTGGAGAGTGCCGGTGGTAGCCGAGGAGCAGCTTGCGGTCCAGGTGTCGCCGTTGTGCAGCCGCAGCAGCAGTCCCCGCCGGTGTCCGCCCTTCGCCTGCTCGGCCTTCCGTCCCCCGACCCTGCGTCTGTTCCTCCCCGACCGTCTCCTCTTCTTCCTGTCTACGGCCCTGTTTTCCCTCCGCCGGACTCGTCCCCGGGGCCTGTCTCCCCCCTCGTTCCCCTCCTGTTTCCCCTCCCCTGTCTCCTGACCCGACTCCTCCGTCGCACGTCTGGTCTCACCGTCCCTCCCGTGCTCGTCGTGCCTCGCCTGTCTTGCGCTCCCACCCTATGTTGCTTCGTTCCCACGCGTCTCGTCCTCCCCTTCTGCCGTTGCCTCCTCCGTCCTCCCTTGTTGTTGCACCCCCCCCCGCTGTCTGACTACCTTCATGCAGCTCGTCCCCTTGTTCCTCGGGTCCTTGCCTCTCTCGTTACCGACCCGTCCGTTCCGGTCTCGTGCCTTGACGCTCTTGTCGCTGCTGTCGCTGACTTCGCCTCTACCCGCCGC